AGCGGGTCAAGCTCCTCAAGTCTTGACCACGCCGTCAAGTCCTCGGAAATCAGTGGCGAACTGACCGGATCACTTGCCGACGGTGTACAGGCTGCACATACGCAATCTAAGTGCACGTGGCTTGGCTGGTCTAGTGGTGGTACCAGCTGGGCGGCATAATCCTCGTACGTAGCACGAGAATCAGCGACTAACGCATGCTCCCCGGTAGTGACATCGATTGCTAGCAAGGCAACCGGGTCCGGCGGAGTGAGGAGAGACGTCGCCCCTCTCCTTGCGTAACTCAGTTTCCCGAGTTCGTTGGACAGGGTACGCATGCCTTGCCATTGTCCGGGCATTGTGCGGTAGTGTCTACGACACTATTGCACCATAGGCAATATCCGTACCGTTGACGTAAGTCAAATACTTCCTTGGTTGTCTTGTATGCCGTCCATTGCTGCTGCCCAGTTCCCGTCGCTGCCGTCTCTTGTGTCGCCTTGTCCTTCCGAACTCTCTTGGGACGCTTCGGCGGGAGTGCAGTTACAATTCCTCCATCACTCGAGGATGCTGCTGCAGCGTGGAGATCGACTGTTTCTTCATAAATCACGGCATTGTTATGTGCCGGTCATTGATAGCCTGGCTTAGCCACATAATGCGGCTGGGACTGCCGTTCGTTTGCGGCCTGGTCATCCGTTTGGATGACCAAGTTCGCACGATCCAGGATAGCTTGGAATGAGGCGTAATCGTACTCGTTGTCGAGTGCGGTCCGCAGTCCTGCGCATGATCGCGAGAAGAACTTGGATCGTTGATTCGTAAAACTCAAATCGAAGCCTGGCGTGGTCACTATCTTTTGCCACTTGGTTGTCCAGTATCGAGTTGGCATATTCCCTTGAGAGCAGGTGTACACCTCGTTCATGGCCACCTTCACGACGTTGCGGACCATGAACTGAGTGAACCATAGCTTCTCGAACTCCTACCACGGGATGTGCGTGTGGAGTTCGACGATGGTGGATTTCTTGGTAGCCGCCAGATGGTTCATCCAGGCCTGCGCTCCTCCAATCAGTTGTAAGTAGAGCGCCTTCATCATGTCGTCAACCGGGACAGCGCGACAAGATGCTTCCGTGAGGAAACGTTGCCACCATGTCAAGGCGACCGACTTGTTGTAGTCGTCGAACTTGCTGATGTCGAAGTGCGGCATCTTGTAATTCTTTGTAGCGGCGTCCGGTCTTGTCTGCAGGTTGGTGATGCTCGTCTTGATGGCGGCCACCGTGCTGCTGATCGTGGCCGGACTAGTGAAATCACCTAGTTCGCCAATGATAGTGACGACGTGACCGATGCGCTCGTTGAGCTGCTTCGTCGCGTCCGTCGTGCAACCTGGCGCTGCTGAGGCCGTTGCCTCAAATGCTGTTGATGCGTGCGAGAGTGGAGTTCAACAGTTGTTGCTGTTGTTGCCGTTGTGTTGCTGCGTCGCGGACGGCGACGGTCAAAACAGCCACCTCTTGCTGGTGCTTTTGTCGTTGCTGTCGTTCCGCGAGCAAGTGTGCCTGCAGCAATTTCTCCCCTCATCACGGTCGTAGCCAGGTTACTTCTTTCTCCCTCCGCCTGTGTCGGAGCCGCCTGCACTTCCGTAGGCACAAAGAACATGCCTTCGAGTAGCGTTGACCACTGATTCTCATGTTGAATCAGGGACTCCATGCTGGCGGCATTCCGTCTGTCTCGTGCCGCTGCGTCAGCCTCAGCAGTCTGCTGAGCTTGGGCTGCTGCCTCATTGGCCAGCCGCTGACGTTCTGCCTGTGCTGCCTCCTGCTGAGCCTTGGCGGTAGCTACGGCATCAGTGAATACCTGTAGCCGCCCAAGGTAGTCAGCCGGCGGTTCAAGGGCCCCTTGGACCGGACATGCGGGAAGAACTCCGGTGGGAACCGGTATTGTCAATGCTGTACTCGATGCCGCCTGAGTCGTCCGCTTGCTGAGCCGCTGTTGCTGATACTTGCTTCGGGGAGGTACCACAGGATGGGTACGAACTGCAAGCCTGGCACTGCGTCGTGGCAGTGCCCCGGTGTCCTGTTCCATCGACATCAGCGCGGGCTGATGTGGTACTTGAGAAATCCCGGTGGTCACAGATTACGGGGGGGGTAGGGAGAGTGGGAACGGGTAGAACAATCAACACTTCACATACAGTCCCTGTCCCACTGATCGACTGTAGACACCTAATCGAACAGAAAAAATAAATTTCCCGTAAACAATTCAAAAATTCGTAATAAGAAAATAATAACGAATTATTTAATCAATAAAGTTTAATTAATGATTAATAACGAAATAATATTTCTCAAATAAAACAATATTTGCAATAATGATGATAATCAATAAAACAATATTTGCAATAATGATAATGAACGAATTTGAAGTGTATCAAGATTAGGTGTCCGTTGAGATCATCTTTAGTCCGGGAGTTCACCGTTAATTAGTGAACTACCCGGAAGTTGCAATTCTGAGGGTCAGATACGGATTAGTTTGCCAAAAAAAAATTCGGAAAAAAATCAGAAGAAAAACACTCGAATTTTCAAAAACGTGAAATTTTGGGAATTTCCACCGTCAAAATCCGATTTTTAAAGGCCTAAGTCCGTTTTCGGAATTTCTCCAACAAGGGAGAGAAAAAAACAAATTCGCGAAAAATTCGGAGTCCAACCCTAAGTTCCCGCGATTCCGCGGAATTTCCGGTTTTATGGTTCCAAAACGTTCGAATTTCCCAAGTTGATTGAAAACCAAAAATTTTCGTAACCCTAATTTCCCACACTGCAATAAAATGGAAATGCCGATTTAGAAAACGGAATACAGGATTAAAATCAGAAAGCTGGATTATAAAAACGGAAACCGAAGTGAAATCAGAATGCCGAATTAAACAGAGTACTGATTTATGAAATCACACTACGATTATTCAACTTGTCATGTATGCAAACAGCGAAACAGCAAATTGGTGACAGGCGCCCACTCAGTACTCAAGATATCGTATCCACATAAGAGTTCTCTTCAAACTGGCTATGGCGACTGAGCGCCCACACAACTCACTGTTCGCACTCTGGATCACCCTGGATGTCCCACACGCAACACTCGGTATCACACTTCACACACACACATGCTAGGCTACAGCTATGGCAGCGCTAGCTGCCACTACCTATCGCTGCACTCTACTCCTCTGCCCACTTCGT